AGCGTGGGGAGGCGAGGCAGGCACAATAGAAAGGCAGGGAACAGCAGCCGTAATTGCAGGGTGTGCCTGCCACGGGACACGCAGGGGGAGGCAGCATTAAAACGGTAACCACCTATGCGTGAACGGCTGTCAGGGCGGGGACCCATGGGGGCTGGCAGGGGAGGGGAGGGTGACATTAACACCTAAAAGACCTGAGCCTGGCAGCCTGGGTTCCTTGGTCTGGTCAGGTTCCTCACTGACTGTGCCCGCTGTCACTGGAGCACACCTTAGAGAGGGCTGCCATGGGATCCACAGAGACTAGTTCAGGGCTCCAGGGCAGCTGGAGGGTGAAACTTCTGGGCGGTGGTTCTGCTTATTGATCCACAGAGTTCTAGGCTTTCAGAGTGATGTTCAAACCAGGGTCCCCAGCACCCTAGGATTCCATGGAGGGGCGTGGGTTGGAGAGGAAGGCTGGGTGGGTCGGCCTGGGTTGCAAGGTCTGCTGGAAGCACGGCACAGAGGTACCTCTAGGCCATCTGAGCCCTTACACGATGTCACCCTGACTCCCGTCAACCTCTTCTCTTTTTCTCCCCACTAATACTCTGCCTGCTGCCAATGAGTCATTATCACAGGCAGGTATTGTCCCGGGCCCCAGAAATGGAGCTCTGAGAGACCACAGTGGCGCCCTCCTGGGGCTCAGACTTGAGCAGGGTGAGGAGCAGAAGCAGGATTGACTTGGCTCATGAGCAGAAATTCAAAGGAAAGAGGAGTCAGTGGGGGCAGGAAGAGCTTCTGTCCATTCACCGTCTGGGACCCTCTGCCAGCTCCAGTTTGTGAAATCAAACATGTCCTTCATGTTCCATGGCCAAGTCCTGGCTTCCAAGAAGCCCGTCCTGGACCCAGAGGTCACTTTCTTTTGTGGAGCTCACCCAGAACAGGGGTGTCTCCATGCAGATAACAAACTCTGCCTACTGGGGGGGCTCTCTTTCCCCTACTGTATTCCCCTTGTCCTGTCTAACCAAGGTAGGAACCTCTGAGGCTAAACGGTGTGGGACTCAGGGACTCGGGGAACTCCCTGGGGTCTCCCTTTCCCGGATGTGGAGGATGTAGAGAGTCCTCAGTGCTCCCAGCCTGATCCTGGTGACATGAAATTCTCCCTCCAGTCAGGGGTCCATTCGCATCTCTCACAGACAAGTGGCCAGTGCTCCACCTGACAGACAGGGGGCCACGCCTAGTGACCTGGTGTGCCAGGGCCACTTGCTTAGCGGTTGTCAAGTCATAGGCTAAGTGGGGACACAGGCACTGGGGCAGCTCAGCGTCCCTCACCTCTCTGCACCAGCACCCCTAAATCTGGGGGTTTCTTTGTGTGCCTGTGTGGTTGTGGTGCCCACCAATCCCAGCTGCCCTCCCTCCACATGGGACTCACCTCCTTCCCTGGAGTTTTAGACCACTGTGCATGTAATCTCGGAAGGTGAACACCCCAAGCTGACAGCAACCTGGCCCCGAATCTCCCCTGCTCCTTCATAGTTTGTTCCACCCAGAAGAGTGAGGTTAGGGCAGATGGCAGAGGTGCTGAGCCAGAGATAGAGTCCCTGAGCCGTGCATGCCCTGCACCGGCTGTCCGTGTCCTCAGCGCTGCCACCTGACCCCTCCCGAAAGCACCCACGTGGCCCCTCTTTCCATCTTCCCCGGTCACGGACTGCCTGGCTGGGAGAGCGTGGCCTCTGCTTCCCTACCTTGAATGCCCAGTCGCATGCCAAGGAAGGGTAGGAAGCACCAGACAGCAACAGGGGCTCATTCAGGGAGCAGAGCTGGATGGCAGAATCAGCTTCATCTCTGCCTGAGGACCCAGTGTGCTAAGGGTCCCTGCCCTCCAGAAACCCAGGACCAGGGAGGGAGAGGAGGGGAATAGTTCACGAGGCCCCACTATAACAGGCAGGAGTGGGGCTGGACCAGAGCTATGGAGCTCCACTGGCAACCCACAAGGGGAGCGACTGGCATCCTCAGGGTGCCCCTGTGGAAGCCCTCTGACCTCTGCTTCTCCGGGCCACTTTCTTGCCTGTGGCCCTTGTCTGCTGGGATGCCCTACTCACTCTCCACGCCCCAGATCAGATGAGTTTCCCTGTGGAAGGTTCCTTGAAGTCTGCAATCAGGAGGCCTGGCAGCCTAGACCAGGAGCCAGCTCAGTCTGGAGGGGAAGGAAATGAGAGATGGGGACCACAGGGCCCATCTACCCTCCTCTAGTTTCAAAGTCTTGTTTGTGGGGAAATGTCTGCCCTGTTTCACTCCTCGATAGACACCATTAGCCAAGTGTGACCACCTGTGCACAGACATAGCCACATCTCACCCCGAAACCCTAAGACCATCTCCTGAGTCATTCTGGGCCCACTGGGAAGAGCCACCAGCTACATGTAGCTCCTCACTGCTGCCCCTCAGGCTGCAGTGAGCCAGCTCGGAGCCCTGCAGGACTCCGCATCACACTGGCCAAGTGGGCTGGGTGACAGCATTAGTGAGCCCAGACTTTCACCCAGCAGCACCAGCCAGGGTTATGGCCTTGTTAAAGCAGGTTGAAAAGAAGATGGCAGGGGGGCTCCTGCCTTGGGGATGGAGGACAAGAAGGCCATTATTTCCCTGGACTTATTTATTCTCAACTGCCAGGAAAAAAGCAGACCCTTCGTCATTCCCTAAATCTGACCAGTTCAAAACTGCCTGTCCCCGGACCCAGGCCATGGGGCCTCGAGCTGGGGCGGCTTGGCGGCGCCCGGCTGCACCCCCACCCACCCCACACCATTTCTAAGAAAGTCTGAAATGTCGAAAGCAGGTAAGAGGAGAGGTTCCCAAAATAAAGAAAGGCCTCTGAGGATGAAAGCCTGGATCCAGCCTTTCCACGGGGGAAAAGACTGTCATTTGTTCTCGGGCAGGGTTTAAAGAACAGAGTATTGTCATCGTGAAACTGTTTCATTTTAAGCTTTTACTTTGGGGGGTTTGTTCTGGTTTTGTACTTTCTCTCCTCCCGGTGGCTGCTGCATATGAAAGACAGGGGTCAGGCCAGCCTGGGGCTGGTGAGTGGGACCCGCTGCTTCCTCTTTGATTTCCCCGAGTCCAGCAGGATGCTGCTTCCACCTGGAGACGGCTGGCTGTCTCCTTCCGGCCAGTGCCAGACTTTGCTGAGAATAATTCTTTCTTAAATGCACACACACCCATAGCAATTCCCATTAAATGCTTCAAATTGCCCACGCCAGATTCAAAGCTCAGAGAGAGTGCTTTGAAGACTTTTCAGGGAATAAAAATAAAACCCTTCCGCAGATGTTGGAGAAATGTTGCTAAAAGAACTCCTAGGTCCCTGTAATACGGTTGAGATGGGCGAGCCCAGCGCTGTGCCCAGACTGGGGCTGAGGAGCAGGGCTGGGAGAGAGGCTGCTTCTGAGGATCGTGGCTTTTCAGGGTCTGATCCGTGTTGGCCTGGCATCGCTAGTGTGGCTGGTTAAAGAGGGAAGGCGATGATTCCGAACAATGGCTGAGCCCTAAGCTACTCTTTGCGTCTTCCAACAAGATGTCTCCCAGAAAGGAAGCCCACGGGGGTTCTGAACCAGATCCCACACAGCTGTGCTCAAACTCAAGTCAGCTCGGTTCGACTCAGTTCAGTCTGTTCATTCATTCAGCAGAACCAGGCTCCGTGTGAGGTGTTGCAGACACAGGAGGCAACAGAACAAAGATTCCTGGGTGTGCAGCTGCAAGGTCCCACCTACCCAGACCCAGCAGGTGCTGGTTCCCTGAGGCAGCATTGCTCCCCGCTGTGGAGTGTTGAGGAATCACCTGGGAGTGACCTTGTTAGGAACCAGCTCTGTCCAGGACCCCATCAGGGAGGGCCCTGGGGCTCTGCATTTACAGCAAGCTCCCCAGCAGGACGTTAGGAATGCAGGCACCTAGTCCAGATTGAGTTGCAGTCCATCATCTGCTGTCGGTGTAGGCAGGCTTTGGGTGGGGACAGTCTCACCACACAGCTCAGGCTGGCCTCAGACTCACAGCAATCCTCTTACCTCAGCTTCCCGAGTACTGAGATTACACGTGCATGTCATCACACCTGGCTTTAGGCAACCTTTTTAACATTTCTGTCTCAGTTTCCTCTTCTATAAAATGGATTCAAATAGCCCCCTTATAGAAATGTATTATGGAAATTATTTTTCTTCTTTTTTATTTAAATCTACTTGCCTTGGGATTGCCCATCCCTCTCACAGAGTCTCAGGGTTGTCTCTTTGTATCTCGCCTTTGTCCTGAATTTCCCAGTCACTGTCTACTTGAATCAGAAGGCTCCTTCCTAACCTGAGGAGGTGGAGAGGTGTGCAGTTTTTCTGCAATGCCATCATATAAGGTAGGTGGCATTGGGGAGGGGCGGTTTCCCCACAGATTGAGGCTGGAAATCAGCCTAGCAACTGAGGGACAGACATAGTGAACAGTTGTCCTAAGATATCACACATGGGACCAGAGGATCATGGAAAGAACAGAAAAGCATCTGGGTACAACATTGCCTGTTCTGCTGGAGACTTGAGTGACCTTAGGGAAGACTGTTCACCTCTTTCCTCCTCCTTTTCCTCCCACGTAAAACGGGGTTCACAGTGGTATCAGCCCCTAAAGTTGTTTGCTTCTCCTGACCCAAATTGGAAGCAGACCCTGGCGCTTTAATCTAGGGCATCAACTTCACAAGCAGGCAGGTTTATGATTGGGAAGCTACCAGTGGTGGGCACAAGGGCATGTGGCGGGGGTTGATGCCAGCCTCACTTCTGGTAGGGACTCAAACATCTCCATGGTGATACTTCCAAAGCCTGACGTTATGATTCAGGGTAGGAACATTTCCGGGGAGTCCTGGACCTCTTCATCCAAGCAGGGACAGTCGGAGGAGTCCAGTCTACACGGGGCACGGGCAGCACCCTGCATCTCTCAGTCTTTGCCCACCCCACCCTGTCACCCACCCCACCTTCTTTGGACCACAGGAAAAACCCAGTGTACCACTAATTGGGTGACTACAGAGGGGCAATTCTTTGAAGTCCTCTGGGGCTCTGTTTTTTGCTTCACAAAATGAGAACATTGGAATGATGGTTTCCAAAGATGCTTGGTTTAATACACCAGAGTCTCCAGTAGGACAAAGGTGAATTTCACCCCAGCGGGGTGGCTTCCACCTCATCCAGTCCCGTCCAAAATCCTCTTCCATAGCAATACCATACAACAGTTGGGACGTACTTAAAGTATTCTCTGTGTATCTGAAATAAACATTGTTGGACTGTAAGTAGGCATTCTCTTTTACCTGGCACCCTCCCTGACCCCATGCCACCCACCATTCTCCCAGCTCCAGCTCCCAGGTCCTCTGAGGTGTGGCACACCCTCTGCCTCACCCCACTAGTCAGGTCCCCTCCCTCAGCAGGAGGAAGAAGATGTTCTCTTCTCCACACCATCTCCTCTCCACGCCGTTATTAACACACAAGCTCTATGCTTACCTCTGGCTTTCTTTCTGATGTGCAACAAGCTATCCTGGATTTTTTTTTTTGAAGCACATTGCCTGCTTCTTGCTTTTGGTTTTTCTTCCCCACTATAACTTTCCTCCTTCTAAAAACAGTGAGCATGGCCACCTCTGACTGACAGCCAGGGCAAGGGCTGGATGGGAAGATGTAAGGGGCAGAAAGCTCAGGGAGGAGCTTGTCAGCCTCTCTGCACAGTGAACACATCGCTGTTACAGGGTGGTGGGAGGAGTGATGGGGTGGGGGATGGACAAGGTTTGACCTTCTGAGGGCATCTTGTTTGGAGCCCAGCTGTGTGTGTTGATGAGGCCCATTTAAATATTCAAAATAATCAGTAAATTCAGTTCTGGAATAGGAAATGCTTCTTTTTTTTTTTTTATCAATCTGCCAAATGAAATTGCCTCAGTCCTACCTCATTCCCAAGCCTGGCTTTTGCTCATAAGGGGTCAATCCGAGGGCTGCTGCCGTGTGTCCAGTGAGACACCAACGTATGCCCCAGAGCGGGTTTGTCATTTTGTGTGTGTAGGGGGGTGTCATGCGCGTCCTGTGACTGTGCCAGGGGTGCTGGCCTGCACCCTGCTTCTCCTCTCCCTCTCCTTTCCTGAAGAGCATCCTACGTTGCACTGCACAGAGCTGCCTTGAGGGCAGCCACAGAGGGCAGTAGGAAGGTGGCCTCAGTGTCCACGCGGGGAGCAGGGAGGGGGCCAGGCGCCCAGCATTTGTGAAACACTTGGGCAGCCCCTGGGAATGCCAACCTGCTCCTGCAGCTGTTGGCCCACATTACTAATAGTTACAAGAACAATGAAAAACTCAGCCTCTCACTCGAAAGGGACACAACTTTGACATTTCATCTGATCCTGCTTCCCGCACGTAGAGCTGTTTCTACACGCTCTGAGTTAGTGTACACACGCTGACTTTTGTTTTGCCCCTTTTAATATCATGCTCATAAACATTTCCCTGTAGTACACGATAAGATCATATCGTCTTGATTTGCAATGGAAAAACTGTGTCGCTATTTTTTCCCCCATCACTCAAGCATCTACGGAGTTGAGTTGATGTCTTTGCCAGCGTTCTCTCACTGGCGTTTTGAATGCAGAAGGAATGTGAAATATGTCATCTGAAAACTGCTGATTAACTAGCAAAACGCTCCAGCTCCCAGTTGCTCCACACGTAAAGATGAAAACAGTCACACATCCCTCTTCTGCCTCTGAAAACGGCAAGGTGGCGGGGGACAAGCTGCCCCCACCCCAGCAGTGATCCATGCCCTTCCTCGCAGGCTCCTGGCAGTGGGAAGGGTTAGTAAACTATGTCAAAGGCCAGGAGCCAAAAATCACGCCCTGAGCTAGCCAGGAAAATACCCTCCTTGCCGCCATGCCCTCTTCCCCAGCTCTGGCAGCCCAGGTGCCCGGTAGGGGACCATGGAGCAGAGAGGGGGTGCCTCCCAGCTGTGTTTCTCCCCTTGGCATTTGCCGAGTCTCTTGCTGGATCCTCATGGAGAAGAGTGTGTGGGGCCCACCTGGAGAAGGACAACTGTCTTCTAAAGACAAGATCATCACTGGGAATTTTCCTTTAGAGATAAATCTGGGTCCTAGTCTAGACATACATAGTGAGAAGGGGCGGTGTCACCCGGAATCCCAATACAAGGGACTTACCAGGGAGGAGTCACAGCTGTGGTGGCAGGTGCTGGATCCCAGGTGGAGGGCCAGGAGGTTAGCTGGTGAGAGGCCCCTGGGCCCTTGGCAGGGACCCTAGAGAAGGGCTGGTGTGACCAGGGGTGGGAAGCCCAGCAGGGAGGAGGACAGATGGTTCTAGTCCTCAAGACAGCTGTGCCGGGGTAATGTCTGAAGTGTGAGCTCGGGGGAGCAGCCCCATCTTTCCATTCTCACGCCTCCAGCGACTCCTGGGCAATTCCCGTCACTGCAAAGCCCCAGCTCTGCTAAAGACCTGGGTGAAAGAGAGACCAGCAGCGGCAGGAGCAGAAACAGAAGCGAGAGAACCCCTCAGGAGCCAAGCTGGCTCTGCCCTGGTCTGTGGCCTCGTCTACCCTGACCCTTCTCCTCCTCCTGAGCAGCTCCAACATTGATAATCGAGGCAGTAATGGTCCTCCTTCAGGGCTCTGAAAGTGAAAATTGGAAATCCTAAATACTCCAAAATCTGAAACTTTTTAAGCACCAACATGGTGCCACACATGGAAAATTCCACACTTGCCCCACACAACCGATCACAGTCAAAATGTGGGCAGAGAGCTGGGCATGATGGTGCATGTCTGTAATCCTAGCTTCTCAGGAGGCTGAGACAAGAGGATCACAAGTTCAAAGCCAGTTGGCAACGCAGTAAGGCCCTATCTCAAAATAAAATAAAAAATAAATAAACAAGACTGCATATGTGACACTGTGGTAGGATATCCCTGGGGTTGATTTCCAGTACTAGAAAAAAAGAAAAGAACATAGGCACATTGTAGAAACACTGATAAAACTGCTTTCTGGCAATGTGCATGAGATGTATATGAAACACAAATTTCGGACTTGGGTCCCATTGTCAGATATCTCAGCATGTACATGAAAATATTTTGAGGCCAAAAACATTCCAAAATTCAAAACACTTCCGGTTCTGAGCATTTCAAATAAGAGACACTGAGATAACCCAACCTGTACTAACAATCACACAAGATCCAGTCTCAGCAAACCAAGAATTTCTGTCTCTAGTTCAAACCCTCTTACACTCACCACCTGATAGAAGAAAATCCAGTAGTTTACTAAATAGAGAGCCTTTATTTCCCCCCAATCATGCTCCTTGGAGGTGAGAACAGCTTCTCTCTATGGGTCCCTCCTCCTCCTCCTCCTCCTCCTCTTCCTCCTCCTCCCCTTCTTTGTTTTGAGACAGGTTCTTGCTATGCAGTTCAGGCCAGTCTTGAGTGCATTTTGTAGCCCAGGCTGGTCTTGAACTTGCAACAACCCTCCTGCCTCAGCCTTCCAAATGCTAGGATTACAGGTGTGAAGCATAGGGATCAATTCTTAAGAAAATATTTTCTTTTTTATCTTACTTTAAAGAGAAGAAAGAGAAAAGAAATAAAAATAAAACAGAGTTTCAAATCGGGGTCGGAGGAGTTACAATAATTAATACTTTGCACATAGTTATCTTCATAGTAGTTACTCAGAGTACAAGATATAGGCAAGAAATAATATCCAGACAATATTAGCACAAATCTCCTTTTCCAATGAAGAAAGACTAGCTGTACAATTATCTTAACTATTTTGTGTATGTGCATGTGTATGTGTGTATGTATGTACATGCTGTCATGATTTATGTTGGTGGCCCCCAGACCTCCTGCATTTGCACTGTGCATTTGTGATTGGTTCATTGTCTAGTTTGGATTGGGGGTGTGAGTGCTACACTGGCCTACGGGGGGAGCCAGGATGTAATGTAATGGCAGGAAGAAGGCGTGTCTCGCTCTCTCTTGCAGGGTTTCCTCCTTGCTGTTTGCATGACCGGCGCAGCCCCCCAATGAGACAGAGGATGCTCTTGTGGGTAACAGGTAACTGCTGCTTTATTGTTGCGGGTTCTGGCTTATATATCTGACTGTGGCCAATCAGGCTGCCACGAGGGCTGCCACGAGGAGGCAGGGCCGGAATGAGACGCAGGCTCTGGCTAATATACTCAGCTGTGGTCAATCAGGGGTTGCCACAGAGTCAGCACGGGGTGAATACGAAGTGAGCAAGGGGTGGCTAATTTGGAGAGGGACGTAGCGCATTGCGGAAGCTGACATGGTCCTTAGTCCTGGGTGGGGTATGGTATGTTGAGCGCCTGCACCCAACATTTGCAGCCGCCATGAACTGCAGCCCCACTATGCCATCCTGCCTTGGAGCCAACTGAGTATGGACTGAAACTTCCCAAAACTGTAAGAAATAAACTTTTCCTTTCTGAACTTTGGGCATCAGGTATTTTGTCTCAGTGGCTAGTAAAAAGTAACTAAGACACATACAAATATTTGTGGTGTATATTTTTCCCTTCCTTCCTTTCCATTTTCCCCATCAGTTTCTCTTTTCTTTTGAAGAGTTCCTTCCAGTTCTCAGTATCTATTGTACCTGTTGGATCTTATTAACTTGTTCAGTTTCTCAGTGAGACAATGCGATGTTTACCCATGCGTGTCTGATTTATTGTTGTGCTCATTTACATAAACATCTCGTTTATCCTTGTGACCGAGTAGTACTCCACTGTATAAAAAAGCCCGCATCTCTTCCATCCATTCCTCTGTTGATGGGCATTTGGGTCGTTTCCAAGATTTGGCTATTACAAATCATGCTACTATAAATATACGTGCACATATATTGCTGTGGTGTGATATTTGAATTCTTCTTGGAAGATACCCAGAAGGGGAATAGTTGGGTCGAATGGTTGCTCTAGTCCTAGTTTTTTAGGAATCTCCACACTGATTCTATAGTGGTTGCAGCAGTCTGCACTCTCACCAACAGTGCAGAAGGATTCCTTTTCCCCCACAGCCCCATCAGCATTTATTATTAGTTGATTTCTTGATGATAGCCATTCTTTCTAGGCTGAAGTGGAATCTCAGGGTTTTTAAATTTTCATCTCTAGTATGACCAGTGATACTGGGCATTTTTCATATATTTGTCGTTTGTATTTGTTCATTTGAGAAGTGTGTATTTATCTCAGATGCCCATTTTTGGATTGAGTCTGTAAACTGAGGGTCCTGCTTTTTTTTCTCAATTCTCTACATTTTTTAAGTCCTTTGACTGAGAGACCACTGGCTATAGACAGGCATTAAATACAAGGATGAACAGACATGTCATGGACACTCTTTGTACACCAGGAATCCCATATCCAGTCTTACGTTACTTATGCCTCTCAGGCCTGTGGGGAAGGTGGGCTGCTTCCCATTTTATAGATGAGATAACTGAGAGCCCCAGGTGGTGGACGGTAGGGTCAACATCCTAACAGCTAACCACCTTGTCTGACTTTGTGTTTCAAGGACAAACCATCAACAGCACAAAGACAAGTTGTGAAATATATTTAGAAGGCCATTTACTCTTAAAATGAATGTTCTTTTAAAATCCCCAAATTGAGGTTTAGAAACATTTAACCCTTTCCTTCATAAGTGTGTTCCTTTTTTTTTTTCCTTGTTACTTTGACATTCTCCACCAGCAGGCTGCTTCTGACTGGTTTTGATAGCCACACTTTTATTTACATGCAAATTCACAGCAAGAACCTCGCATGTAAATACTATCCTAATTATTAAACCTGTATCGTTCATCAGAATGCTGTACCTTAATTGGCTACGAGATTGTGAATTACTCACAATAGCTTGATTTGGAGCCCTACCAATTTTTGTATCTGCATAATAAAAGAAAACAGGAGGTGGGAGACTGTCACCTATTTTATACGTGTTTCTTCAAGGTCAAATCATCTTTTCTTCCTTCCCCAATCTACATATTTATAAAGACCTCTACAATTAATGAGAGGGAAGATTAAATGGTTGCAGATTAAGAACAATCCCCACTGTTCTAATTAGAGGAAAAGTTACTTAGTCAATCAGATTGGCATTCCAAATTCAAACTAGCTAACACAGAGGCGTAACAACGCGGACAGTTTCCCCAGCCTGCAGTTTATACACAGCCATTGGAGCCAGGAAGGAAAGCCACAAGCCTGGGGCTTAATTTTACCTTTGCGATGACAGTGCTAAGTATGCCTGATGGTGGAAGATAGAAGAAGGGATGGAAGCCTCTTATCACACCAAGGTGACACTGGCCACAGTGGAAACAGAAGGAGAAAGAGTCCAACCACACTGACTGAATGATAGTTTGCCTTAGAACGGAGACTTTCAGTCCTTCCCAGCTAATCTGCTCCTGGAGTCCGCGGGGCCCAGGAGAGGACCCTGGTCCATAGCTATCTGCAGGGTCCTCTCCTGGGCGCCATGGTCTCCTGGAGCAGGTTTCTTCCAATGTGGTTTGAACCTGTATCTGAATGCTGCTGGATACTGGCTGGACACTGGCTGACGTCTGGTTCCCTGGCCAGGCCCTAGCCTGGCTAGGAAGGCCTGAATGCCTGCATTTTTAACAATCCCTTTGTGATTTCCACGAACATACATTTGGAAGTCACTGACTTAAGGCTCTATTGGTAGTTTTAAAGAATCCAGGGATTCTCAGATATCGCACATATGTACATGTTCTTGGAAGGAGGTCTATAGCTTTCACTAGGTTCACAATAAATGTTTATACTCTGGGAAAAAAAAACAATAATCCTGGGGTGCAAGAGATTAGGAGAGCAAGATTCAGCAAATCAGTGGACACTGGGCAGGAAATAACCTGGAAGAAATCACAGACCCCAGTACAGTGTGGTGTTGGGAGTCAGTCCTTCCTTCCAATCTTGCATGCGCCCCCTATCTTGCATGCGCCAGTAGAAAAGAGAAGAGAGGGCCAGAGTAGAGCCGGTCCCAGCAGGGAGCGCTCAGGGACAGATTCTGTTGGAGACTGAGCCCGAAATAAGGTGGGGATGAGCAAAGCCTGCTCTGCAGGAGCAAGGAGCACTGAAGAAGTCTCTCTCTCCTCGTTACCTCGGCTCGGTGCTGTCTTCTTTCCCCCATTATTCCCACAAAACTTGGCTCTCGGTCCCATTTGCACCTGGAGCAGAAGTCGGCCCACTTTCCCGGCATGCAGGCCTCTCCAACTGGGGTTCAGGAGCATTCTCCTGACCTTCCAGGGATCAGTAATGAGATCACCTCTGCCTGCCAGGTGGGGCGAGGCTCCTGCATGCTCGTTTATTACCCTTTATGAGCATGGTGCTAGTTGGCCCAGCTGTCTGCAGGCTCCGGGGCCTCACACACCTGGTGCGGCCAGGGCAGCTGCTGGGAGCCACTCCTTGCTGCTGGCTCATTAGCAGACAGGCCTTGCCGGCAGGCAGAGCTACATGGGGGACAGCCCGGACCTGTCAGACCTTGGGAGCTTAGGAGCAGAGCACCCTAACCCTGACGCAGCTACATTCTAGAGGGGCAGGCGGGGACTCCCCAGCCAGGCAGAGGCCCAGGCATCCTAGAGAGGCAAACCTTGCATTCTGTGGATGACCCTGCTCTGCTGTGCCCTGGGTTGAGCGTTTTCCTCAGGGTCTGCAGGACAGTGAAGGAAGGCAGGACAGTCTCTCCAGGTGGGGAGGAACTGCATTCTGGCTCTCCTAGGTTCTCCTGCCACTCCTTATGGGTTCTCTTGCTTTGGTTCCCTCCCAGTTGGGGGTCAAGATGTTCAGTTCGTGGGATAGAGGAAGAGGAGAACAAAGTCTCACCAAGTTCCCAGCACTCACAGTAGGCCACGCCCAGCACCCAACAAGGCCACGCCCACCACAACCTGACCAGCTAGAACTGGTTGCTTTTCCTGTCCCTGCCCCACAATAACCTCCATCTGCCCCGCTGTGCTACCCACCCTGGCTTCCTGTGGGCCCCCACACCTGTTCTTGTAGCAGCTGCCTGCAGGCCTTTAGGGTCTGCCTGGGGTTTGGAGAGGTCCACGTGTGGATGGCCCCGTCCACGCTTGCTGAAGGAAAAGCCCTCAGAGCATGCCTGGGCACCTGTCCTTTGGCTTTGATCTTAATCCAAACACAAAGCCTCACACATGGTATTGAAGCATTCAGTGACCATGGAAAGAAGGGGAAAGCCAGAAGGACAGTCATCCACACAGGCCGTGGTTGTCAGCACGAGGGAGGCAGGAACCTGAGATGCCCGCGTAGTCCACGCACCCTGTGACCCACCATGGGGTGTAGAGAGTCAGACCTCCAGGCCTGAGTCGGAGGACCACCGGCAGAAGGCCGCCAAAGCCTCCCGCTGGTCTGCTCCATGCTGGAACGGAGCCCTTGACTGAGCAGCGGAATTGGGAGAAGTCTTTTTTTACAGTTCTGACAGCTGAAGTCCAGAACCAAAAGGCTGACAGTCTGGTTCCTTCTGAAGCCAAGATGCCTTCCAGGTGACTATCTTCTCCTGAGCCTCAAGGCTTCATCACAGACTCGAAGAAGACAGGGGAGACTTTTTAAAAGATTAAGACAGGGAAATCTTTTTAATGCAGAAGCATTAAAGTAAAGAATTGGTAAATTCAACATGATACAGAGAAACCCCTTCCTATTCAACAATAGCAATAATAATGACTTAAGCCACATCTTAGAGGAAAAGCAGGTAAAGAAAATGCCAGAAAAACCCACCTGTAACATACAGTAGTTACCACTTGCTTAATATATAATGAGCATTTCCAAGTCAATAAGAAAACGGCCAGCAGCTCATTATGAAAGGTTGCACAAACTTTCAAAAGTTGCAGTACAAATTCAGATGTTGAGTCTCCATTTTAACCTCTGTCAGAGTAACCAAATGGGAAAGACTCAGAGTTCTAGCCCCGAGGAAAGGACGGTGAAAGGAATTTTTTCCCTGTTTTGCAAAGCAGTTTTTTATTGGTACATGGTTTGCAGTCCATAAGGTTTGCTTTCCTCATGGTTCTGGCACATGTACATAGCGCATCTTAATTCTCTCCATCTTCATCCCCTCCCCACCCTTCCATCTCCCTTCCATCTCTTGGACCCCTTCCCATGTGAGAAAGATCTGTCTTCCTACTTGATCTTATCCATCTTTCATTTTGCTGTTTATCAATTGGTTTTCTCATAAAAGAGAAATCGTTCGGTCTTTAGATTTTCATTTAGCATTAAGGCCTCAAGGTGTATCCACCGTGCTACCAATGACTCGTTTATGCTTTTTATGGCAAAGTACTCTGTTGTGTATTGGGTGCTGTTTCAGAACTGTCTAGGGCCTAGGGGTATCTAACAACATTGCTATCATAGGCACCATTGTACCTAGCAATGCCACCATGAGGTGTGTGCCCCACAACCTGATTGTCATGAGAGTGCTCTTGACACCTGCCTTGGAAACAGTTAAAACCTGGGAACAGCATGAACACCAGCATTGGGGCCGTGCAGGAGGGAGATGGGTGGGTCCTGGCACCGGAGCAGAGTGAGCAGTTAGTGTCTATTCCCAACAGGGAAAGCCACATGCTAGGTAACAGGACGTGACCCCATTTGTGTAAAAACACGATTGAAGAGTCCCTCAGGAGCCATGCTAAGCGTGTCCTTGACCTTCTTTGTCTCGTTTTCTGTCTTAGGGTTCTCAGAATGCAGGATGGGTCGGGACCCCCTGGAGGGCATTTTTCACAAGCGAACTGCTGTGCACACCCCCGAAGCCCACGGTCAGCAGGTCTGGGTGAGGAAGCAGCTGGTTCCAGCAAGTACTGCCCCTGGGTCCAGGCACCTCATTTCGAGAAGCCCTGCTAGAGTATTTGACTTTTGACACCAGACTCAAGCATTGGCTTTGTAATTTTTTCAATAAGTTCCAAAAATAACCCCTGACCCAGGACGGGCGCCATTTACACCTCCACACCAAGTGGTTTGTTGTTTTTGCCTTGTCAGTCGGGAAACCACTCCCAGTATGGAAGTCCAGTCTCTCCTGCTTTGTTCTGCCCGACCCCTCTCCCCAGTGAGGTCAGCTGCTCACAGGAAGGACAAGTCACTTTGAGAACAAAGCTCTCACCCGCTGGAGGACAATGACCAGACCCCCACCCCTTGGGCCTTTCTCCTAGATAAGATCAAAGAGCCAGGCTCCTCCAGGGTTCAGGCCATGAGGAATCCCCCACTCTACTACCGCTGCAAGCCCAGCCAATCTGCCCCTCAAGTGACAGGAGTGCCCCAAAGGAGCCGCTGACGCCTGTCTCCAAGGAAGTGATATGGCTTTCCTGAGACAAGCTGGGGACTTGGTGCCCGACTCCCTGCTGCAGAACCAGAGCAAGGGGGCATGTTGGGAGCAGAGGGACTTCTGGGAGGCCGTGCTGCATGAGGGAGCGGAGGTGGTCCTGCAGATGGCCTCTGACCTCTCAGCAATGCCATTTGGAACCTCTCTGTCCTGACCGTGAAGTCAGGCACCACAGCCCAGTCTCTGAATCACACCAGGCAGAGTCTCCATTAGCTGGGGAGCTGAGTATTGTGGTGACCCCAATTCCTTACCTGGAGGTTTTGGGTACTCTCTGACCTGTTCGAGCATCAATAAGAGAAACTGAGTCATGGCCACAGTTCCCATCTTTCCATTGATGCTACAGGGCTCAGGGTCAGAGCACAGTCCAGAGGAGGGCATTTCTGAAAGTCAGAGAGTAACACGGTCCCCTGGCCACATGCCAGCCAAGTGAGGGCAGGGTCCCTCAGCCATCCTGTCACCTTGGGGGTGCCTCATAGCCCTCTCCCCAAGCACCTGCAGTAAATTCCCTCCTTTCCTTCTTCCCGTCAAGGCTGTGCCACTGTTCCCTTCTCTCCATCCTTTACATGCTCCCTCCATGTCTGGTTTCAAAGCGAGAAAAGGCATTTTGATTAGAAAGCGTTTCTCAGGCTGCTTCAGTTTGCCCAGTGCTGGGTCTTTTGTTTGCCTTCGCTGCCAGCCTCTGCCTGAAGGGAGGTGGCAGCATTATCTCCCTTTACAGGTGAAGTGCTGACCAAGAAAGGCTACAAGGCCGCCCAAGGTCAGACACCCTGGAAGCCCTGGGCACAGACAGCCGGCGAGCTGTCCCTGATCCCTTAACGTGGAGCCTGGGGAAACGTGAGGCACGCAGGCCTTGGCCCCAGGCCCCAGAGTCCATCACTGCCGGAGGGAGACCCTGACACCCAGTTAGCAGAGTGAGCAGGCTGTGAATGTGGACCCCCAGCAGAGGCAGTCTGAATGGAGAGATGGTGAGACAAACAGCAAGAAAGGGGTGAGCTGGTCAGGGCTCCCCACCTTGCACTCCTACGCTGTCCACTGTTCCCACCACCCTGTCCTCATTTAGTTCTTCTGGGTGGTCAGGGGACACAGTGGAAACTAAGGTTCTTGGGCATGGGAACATGACCCAAGGTGCAGGGTATGTCCCTGGAGACCCAAGCAAGTCTCCCCAGCCAGGCCCCACCTCATGAGCAGTCTGTCTGGCTGTGTTCTGGGCTTCCTGGGGCCAGAGTGAGGGCAGAGGGAAGCAGAAGGCCCTCCCCTTCTGCCCCTGCTACTGCATGGGGTCACTTTTTTTTTTTTTGTGCCACACCAGGGATGGAACGCATGACCTCAGGCTTGTCAGGCAGGCGTTTATGCTGCTGAGCTAAATTCCCAGCCCCTGTGTGGGATCACTTTGGCCTGGCAGTGGGGCACCCAAAGGACAGGCAGGCCTGGAGGTGACCAAATCCACTGTGACCATCAGGGAACCAGCTGTGCTCCTGCCCCACCTCCACCTCCCACCTAGTTTTGTGTAGGGTAAATGAGGGAGGGGGGCTGGCTGGGGTTCAGATGACCTGGTCGGGCATTGGGTGCCTGGGGGAGTGTGGCGGCCCAGACACAGTCACCACCCTGCCTCCTCCCTACTTCCTGCTTGAATGCAGAAGCTGAGTCTGGCCAGGGTGGCCATCTGGTGTCTCGGAGGATGGAGGCGATGCTGGGGATGGCAGAACCAGCAGCTGAAAAGAGCCCAAGTCCTAGGTGTGCCCCCACCTAGATGCCAACACCCTGTCCAGTCTTTCAGAGTAAGTGGTGGCGAGTAGATGTGGCCACAGTAACTGAACAGAATCAGAAGTCACAAGGATTAGAGAAGAGGATGCTCCCAGCTGCCCCTGGCTTCAGTGTCACATCTGAGCCCTGGGGTCTTGGAAACTGATCCTCCCCTT